GCGAAAACGCTGGCGCGCTCGTCATAGGCGCCGGCGTCACGGACCATTCCTGCAGCAGGTACCCCCAGCATACGTGCCAGACATTTTCATGGAAAACAAATGTCCCTAAATGTGGAGAAGGCTTATCCGCCCTTAGAATACCACTCAGCACTACTCCTTGGAAAACTTTCGCTCAAAATGTGGCTTAATTCCAGAGAGTGGATCAGTAAGGGGTGAATAGTACCGGAATCATCCCACTACAGGATAATGTCGAGGTTTAGTGGAAGCAAGTAGTGCTACCTGACATGCAACCTACCAGTAAACAAATATCGCGTTTTCATTCTAGCCATCAGGGCCTTCGAGCACCGAACTTGCCGGATTTGTCGAAGCCAAAAGCTTTATCTCTTCAAAATGCAGGCCATATTTCTGTTAGAATAGTAGACTAACTTCAACACTTCTTTAGTTTTTGCTCTCTATGTCAAATTTCACGCCAGTTAGAGGATCAACCCGAGCAGGATCCTATCCACGCAAGGCGGTTCAAAGACGCGCCTGTCAGAAAAGGAAACAGTTCTCAGAAAAGGACGGGGACATTCAGAGGAAATTTAGAAAAAATTGAGAACCACATGCAGCTGACACCGTCGCAATCAGTCGGGGCGGTCACGATGTGCGGAATGAGCCCGTTTTCGGCTGCCTTGCTCCGTTAGTAACCGGACGCGAGCTAACTGGCACTTAGAAGGGGAAGGCTGATAAGTCAACTAAAAACAGCGAGCATAGAAGGGTGAGCTTGGCCAGAGAACTGAGAAAGCTGGGAAGTTTGACATATATTTTAAGGGTGCACATGACTGCCATACACTATAGAAGTGACAATTCGGATGTAATTTGCACAGTCCTCGATGGCTTGTAGGAGCACTACTGCTCTGCAAGACAGTATTTCAGTTCTCTCATACAAGTATGGCACAAGTAGCGGGGTCCTAAAAGAACTCAAGGATCAATGTGGGCGGTTGATGCATTTCATTTTACCCTCACTGTTTTGGTTTGTGTGGGCGCTCAGAGCCCACTGGTTCAATTCGGAAAGTTTGAAATGCGCGAGTATGTGACTTTTTGGAGGTGAGCAGGCTTCGGGACGTTTCGTTACCACTATAAAAGCCAATCTGGCTCCTCATCCAGCGACCCCCTTACGGTAATGCTCGCAGCGTGAGATGTGATTTCTTCCTCGTGATTAACATTCGCGACTTAGGCGGCGCTTTGCGAAAAACGGTCGGTCGGAACGGAGCATTCACGAGCTCACATGCAAATGTCGCCACTAATAGTGACGACACGGTCCCTCTGTGAGGTCTTACTAAAATTTTTTTTTGCATTTTCAACTTAACGCTCCGAAAGCTGAATCTTCGAGATGCCAGAGATTATTCTCAAGTTTACCAAAAGATGACATTTGCTCAGATGCTATGTCTTTTCCCGAAAACCAGGTAGCTTGCATACAATCTGTTGAGCGTGGTATTCTTCATTCAAACCTGCCAAAAACGATTTACTTTTGGGCATTACTGGCTCCAGGTCCGAGTCTGTCGTCTCAACGGCCCGAAAACTCGCTTTTCCTAGTGAATCGTGCCTGGGACCCTTATAAGTGAAGATCTCGTTGGTCCACTATTTGCATAAATAAACGAAGGTATGAAGACTTGCATCACTGGAAAAAGCTCCCCGACAAGGAGCTTTTTAAGACTGTTCCTAACATTCCCATGCAAGAAGCGCAGTCCGCCACATATGGGTGGACATGGGTCCGAAGTGGAATTATATTCAGTTGTACTGAATGGGGTTAAAAGAAAACACTTCATCCTGGATGAAAACACGGACGCAGATGTGGGATCTTCTTGGTGGCAGGAGGACGCAATTTTTTTCAACTTTGTCTAACTTTGGTAGAGGTATCACTTCGGAGCCTAACAAGACTTCACAGGTCTAGACTCGAGTGCTCGACACATTGGTGAGGACTAGAGAAAATGTCAAATCCCGCCCTCCCCCCAAGCCGATTTGCGTCGAAGAGTGAAAAGGTCTACAACTACAATTTTTGAGAATACAAAAACTCACTTCACAAGTTCCTTCTGACGACAAGGCCAATCTGTGATATGGCATTTCGATAGATCTTCGTCAGGGATGTCTTCGAACAAACCCACAGACTGATTATAGTACAGTCCACCGAGAATTGCCTGTAAAAAATACTTCAAAGATTTTGATTAGAAGCAATATTAATAAAGGGTGATTTTTCTACGCGTGAACCATTTTATAAGGTGGAGTCCTCTAGCCCATGCTGAACATGTCTGTCCAGAATTTCAGCCAGATAGTCGTTCTCAGAGACTCTGTTCTCAAACGGAATATCGTGGGAGTTTCGGAAATGCTGTGCAAAAGAACAAACAAACATACCCAAACGTCTACAACCCCATTTTTGGCTAACGCAATGCTCCATCATGAGCGTAATGGTGGACTTGCGGTGCAGCGGTGGCCGTAGCGCTTGTGCAGGTTATTTTCTGAGGCCACAAGTTCTCTCCTTTTTTGAACGGTCACAGCTTCCCTCAGTGGAACATTACAGTAGGAACGCAGGTGTTGCAAGTATGTAGCAGGATTGTGGCCTCTAACTACAGTCATGGCCCCTGCAACGATAGTGCATGTGACCTGCGTCCCAAGATATTCGTCAACGCAAATCGGCCCTTCTTCCACCTGTCTTCCTCGTTTCTTCTTTTCCTTCCTCCTTCCTTCCTTCTCCCTCTTCGCTCCAAGTCAGCCTTCTCCCTTCAACTGCGGGACCGATTGACGCCATGCGAAAATACCTTTGGACCCTCACAGCGAGAGCATGTCAAGTTGACAAGGGCTCCGCGACTGCACATGGGTTGGAGCGCTGCCAAGGCGGCCTCTCCATCAATTATGCCATTCTGAGACCGCAACAATCAGCGGCAAAGCCTGTTCTGACTGTGATCCTACTCACGCCCCTTTACAAGAACAAGGCAGGATGGCAGTAGTTTCGGAAGGGAATGAAAAGGATAAAGTTCTCGCCGTGATCAATCCCTTTGTGGGATGGGCATTCTACTTCCATTCAGAATCCTAGTAGCTTATTGAATGCGATGAGGCCCATACAATGTCTTGCGGTGGATATAATATCCCACGGAAAACGCATTGTACGGTAAGTTCAAGTACGTACCCACGCCTTCCCATCTCATCTACATGGAGAGTACATGCATTGTCTTGTCCACGACTACATTTCCTATTTTTTGGAAGACATGTTTTTTTGCATTTCAATTTGCTTTTTGAACTCACTATCAGTAAAGGCTTTCATCTAATTGCTGTGTGGATTTGAGCGATTCATTTCACTCCAAAACCTCAAGGGCAATTTCCTTCTAAACTTCATTTTATTTTCAAACAATTTCTCATACATTAAATGGACATTCCGCTATTACAGTTCTTTTGCTTCGGCAATAATTATGATAATATCCCCACGTGCTTTTTTGCTCGGCAGTGAGGGGAACTTTGACTAGAACAGTCGGGAAGGCCGAAATGAAAGCCCTCAAGGCAGTTTCTCCACGGGGGGGGGGCATTCTGCACTTTTGCTACTTGCCATCAACGCGTCGAACTATCAAGTGGAGACATGTGAAATCTTGTGAAGCCACGAAATGATACCAGCCCAAGTTTCCACAGACCACCGGGCAACTCTTGTAAAGCAATGGCTTGATGAGCTTTCTGCAGCTTCACAAGAGTTCACAGGTTTCACAAGGGTGAGACCTGTAAAGCGGAAATAGTGGAAACGTAAAAATGCAAAATGTCCCCCCCCCCTCCCATGCTGATCTGCGCCAGGCCTCAGTACCTACATGAGTTCTCAGGCACTCATATAGTACTGACCTGAGGCCAAGACCAGTAGAAAAGAAAGAAAGACAGAAATACAAGGCGGAAGCTTCATGGCTTCCGTCTTGTTTTTCTGTCTTTTTCCGTTTTTCTGTCTTTCTTCCTTTTCTACTGGTCTGTACTACACAAAACTGTAGCACACGTTATCTGCTCATACTAAACAGCTAGCACATCCCGTCTCAAGATGGGTGGAGTCACTTTTGCAGGCGGCGAATCTTGCTTCACCTTCACGCATTCAGCGCCCTTGTCACTCACTTCCAAATGCGAAAGCAGGTCAAAATCGGCCGGACTACTTGAATGTAGAAGGATATCACGGGAAGTGACTTTGAGGTTTTCACGGACCCATCCACCTTTGCAGTTTTCTCATCTCAAGAGAACACCAGTGCGCAGCCTTTCGGAATGGTATATTCCTCCCCTTGATGTGCATTGCACAACCCTAATGTACAGTGAACAGGAAGAGACCCTTTTCACATGCACGAGACCGCTTTTTATATGCACTAGTGTAAGTTATCTTGACTAATCATGACAATTTAATGACAATTGTGGCGCAGTTTGCGTCAGGGGGGGGGGGCATTTTGTACTTTCGCTACTTCTCGTCGTCGTGCTCAGTGCTTTACAGCAGTTGGCAAGTATTCTTTATGAGAGTGCACAAGCATTTCTACAAACCATTACTGGCATTATTTCATGATTTCAGAAGATTTCACAGATCTGTACTTGAAGGCTGGTACAGATAATGATGGGAAGTGAAAGGCAAAATGCCTCCCCCCCCCAAGGTCGCGTGCAAATTATGATAATCGAAAATAGTAGCAGTTTCTTAACGATTCTGTAACCTACCAAGAAAATAATACCCCAAATGCTCATGAAGATCAAAAAGGCCATACACTTCGGACCGCATGCCATCTCCTGAAATAAGCTTTTGATTCAATTACAGGAAAACTAAGATTTAATTTTTTCACGTCAATCTGAAGAATTCATTCAAAGTAAGCCACATATGCGATATCAATAAAAATTAAGTCACGTAAAAAATAAGTCAAGGAGATTATGCGAATTCTTACACAACTTCGAACTAAAAATCACTCCAAAGTGTAGTAACGAAAAAATTCTCATAGTATGACAAGTCTGTGAATTCTTTTATTATGGAATACAATAAAAACCCAATGGAATACAAATTTTATAACATTTTCTACTGCCTACAAAAAATTGTATGTCCCACGTGTCCTTATATTCACACTGGGGCACGTTGGGATCGAAATGGATCGTATTTAGCGTAAGAATTTTTTGATAGTTGATCTTTCCTCTCGCAGCGATGCGAGACTCTCCCACTGGCGGAGGGCTAGGTCGCATTTGCTCATCGCATTGAAGGGATGGGGGTCATATCTGGGCTTAAGAAGTTTTCCGTTTCCGAGACAACTCTTACAGTTCTTTTCTTCTCCAAGTTTTTCCCGTTTCAGATGTGATATCCTCCCCCCCTAGCTGCGGTCAAAGTTTTT